ACAGTAACATTTCATTTCTCACAATAGGGGCTAAAAAAATAAAAGAAACATTGAAATTCCTTTAGCTCATTTGTGGTAGAAGGGACACTGGGAACCCATATGCTTACTTGTAAGTTAAAAAGAAAAAGAGAGTAAGTTGTATGCTATATATTTAATGTGTCATGTAGTTTAGGCTTCACACAGAAGTGTATGGAGTTGAGAAATAGATTTCCAGCACTTGTATGTGTACAATCTAATGTTGTATGTACATTGTTCTTTTGATTTAGATCACTATTCATTGCTTATATTGAGCTAGATCCCATAACTTCTGAGATACCTTAAACACTGAGGTAGAATATATGGTATATTTCAGTCACTTCTGTAAAGCAGTATTGCAAAACTAAACCAATAGCCAGCTATGGTGTGCTGGGACTTGAAAGCTGTTTTTCTGTTTCAACGTGCATAGAAATGCACCCATGGTTTCCCCCAATGACTACACTGCCCCAGTAGAATTTAGGATTAGGATTAATGTTGGAATTAACATGGTTGCCCTTCCCCTCTCCCTCTCCCACAAAGGTGTAGCCAAAGCTGATTTATGCCCAGAACCACATTGAAACTTAGACCGTAATGGGTCCAAATAACAAACATCCTCCAAGCACAGCTGCAGTTGTTCCATCACGACCCTCTCAAGTTCCCTCCTTCATAAAGAGGTATTTGTGACCAGAGGATAGTTGACACTTGCCTTGGGTCCAAATAACAAATACCATTTTTAGATAGGCAATTCTCTCTATGGCTGAAGTATTAGTGATATACTGCCCCGTCTAAAATGTTTAATCTGAACCAACATAGAAATACATACATTTAAACAAGTCAAGAGACAGAAGTAAGAAAAAATTGTTTGGTCTATCTTGCAAAATTTACTAGAACAGAGCTGTGAAGTGGCAGCAGTAAATGATATTTCCTCTGTTGTCTCTTTTGATAAAGCCATCTCAGCATTTTGTACAGAAGTGATACTATTTCAAGGGAGGTTATCCAGTCATGACGCCTATGAACGTAATTGCCACACTCACCCTGTTCCTTTTCTTTTTGAAACAGTTCTAGCCAAAAAAGTGATGATGATTATGAAGATTATACAACCAACAAAACCTGGGTATTGACTCCCAAAGTCCACGAGAGTGATGTCACCTTGATTTTAAATGGCCTGCTGGAGGGATATGACAACAAGCTCAGGCCAGATATTGGAGGTAAGTGTGCTGTATGTTATTTTTTAATAGAAAGAAGGTGGAAGCTGAAAACATATGTTGCTAATGAAGATATGAATGGAGGAAATGTACAGAAACAAATTGCATTATATACTTAACCGCTGCTGACTGATCTTTCTGCCAAAGAATCTATAGCCAACATTTTTGGGAACAAACACTCAAAGTTTACACTTCTAACTGGTATGTTTTTTGTTTATGTTAAACTCATGATTATTTTCAACATTTTAATACTAACTATACTTCAAGAATGTCTATATAAAGTGGGAACTGACACTGAGAGAGCAAGGATGTTGTTTCAGGGTTGTATTCAGACGCACTGAACAACTTCATTTGAGCTTGATTTAAGTGTTGTAAGGCTTAGTACTCTGGCTTAACTGGGTGGGGATTTCATTACTTTGTGAAAGATGCCAGGAAATGTTTGACAGCATTTAATGGCGTGATTACAGAAGTATTAAAATGCAGTAAATCATACCAGCAGAGGTGAAAGAGAAGATGGAATCTAAGCAGAAGCAATACTGATGTTGATCCTTAACCAGAGTGCATGGGTGACCTCACAACAGCATTGTACCAGGAAAGCATTCTGAACTGTTGTCAGATACGAGTTCTGGTAGTCTTTCTAATACTGTGCCATAGAGCTAGTGTGGTGATGACAACCCAGTTTGTTCTACAGAACCCAAGTTCAAGCTGGCTGTAGTCAGATGGCAGCCAGAAAGTGATGTTTTAAGTTCATCCAAATGGCAGGTAACAGAAGGAACCAGAAAGTGCTATTTAAGCAGCCTAGGGTAAGAATCATTCCATCCAGTGGGAATGCCATTAATTTCTATGGGAAGCTCTGTATCTGAGCCATGTTTGGCTAACCGTAGGACAAGGGTTGAGGCAGCAACATTGCAAGGTGGACCAGTAAAGACTTTCTATGCATAAATGAGTTACCCTGACCTAGGGATGTCCAAGTATCATAAAATACATTCTGTTTGTATTTTGTGAATTATCAGGCATTTTTTGTGCAAATCAGATTTTGTGCAAAAGCACCTGTATGTTGTTGTTGTTGTTGTTGTTGTTGTCACACGTTAAGTTGTCTCGCACTTATGGTGACACCCTCTAAAAGGTCCTGTTCTTGACAGCCCTGCTCAATCCATGAAAGTATCCAAAATGAAATAATTCATTTGCATGCAGTTTGTGCAAATGAATTCCCCCCAGATCCTTGGGAAAAAATCTATTTTTTATACATGTGTTCATGCATGGTAACATTCTTAGAGATTTGAATTCACCTGAGTCCATTGCAGTTTTCTCTGACATCCATACCCTGACTCAAATCATGAAGGGGCTGGGGGCAGAAATTGCTGCCAATTGACCTAGCAGAGGAGAAGAGACCTCTGTATGTTGACATATGAATTCCAGCTGTCAGGGAGAAAATATCAGTTTAAGACCAATGCATAACAAAGAAGAAAATGGAGTTACATCTCATTACCATTTAGCTGTTACATAAAGAAGTCTTTGCTTTGTAAGGGACAGAAGAACTAACTATTTTTGAGCTTCCCCCCTTCCAAAAAAATCCCAAATGCAATCTCAAACTTAATTTACTTTACTTACTTTTTTCGGTTTCTGATCTTTTTTTTAGCTCACTCACAGGGAAAGTACACACTGCAAATGGGAATTGCCCATTTCTGTATCTATTTTTCTGAAATGCATATCCCCCCCGCCTGCACCATGACTAAAGCATGCAGTAATACATTTAAAATGCAATTGCACTTTGTGTGAATGTGCAGCTATTTCTCCCCAAAATACTACTACTCACGCTCATAACTGAAATTGCAAGGCTTTTTGGAGGATTTTTGAACATAAATGAAACTCAAATATCCAGCAAGATATGAATCTGAGTGAATATGTTCTGCCCTCTCCTGCTTTCTTGTATGGTTCATTAATGGCAAAACACTTAAGTCTATGCAGTGGCTGCTTATGCCTAATTCCTTTCTTGACATCAGTGGTGATGGCCTTACTTTTACTAGGCCATCAATAGTTTTCTGAGTCAGGCAAATACATATGTGCAGAAAACATTTTAATAGAAAACTGTGCATGTTTCTAAAATGTGCATAATTGAAGCATACATTAGGAACTATCTATACATATAGAAATGTGCATGTCTTTCTTGTGAAAAGAGAAAAAAAAAGCTTGCAATCGGATATGGACAGAATAAGCTTCATAGTGGAATTCAGAGGAGGCTGATGAGCTCAGATCTCCATATATGAATAAAAAGAAAGATTTGCAACTGCATATTGCTATGAATGATATCTGTAGCTGAATTTTGTCATTCATCTCTATCTACATGTGGTTTGCATTGGCTTGTCTTAGCTTAGCTTAGCTAAGCTTAGTTTAGCTTGAAAATAATCCAGGCTGTGTCTTTAAAAACCAGGAAATGTCTAATTTTTAAGGCAGTGCAAATTTGGTTGGAGCTGCCTGCTGAGTATCCTCACCTTTCCCTTTCACATTCACTGAGCTAGTTGGGAGCCAGTGGAGGTAAGCAAATGTGCGAAGGAGTGTCCTTCCTTCCCTCCACCTCTCTGTCCCCTGAGCTGTTTTGCTGCAAGGTGGATGCAAGGTCTCATGAGTCTCCCTAAATTTCCCAAAGGCTATGACATTGCAGGGGTGCCTGCCACTGAAACCTGCAGCTGGGTCTGTAAAGTCTAAAAAGGAAGGGAAGAAGGAAAGGGGTTTCTGGGAGATGGGAGGATGGATGGCTTGGTGGAAAAGGGGCTTGCATTATGGGTCGATTTTTGGATGGGAATTCTTCTTCATCAAATTTAATATAAACTAGTGAAGAATTCTGGGCTCCCAGCACTTCCTCTCATGAGTTTCTGGAACTTGTATTTAATCCCAGGAAACTTGGAATTTTGCTGGCATCTCTACTTGTGGAAACCCTGAGGAATTCATGTAATATTAGCAGAAGATAGGTCAAAGATTTCTGCCCCAGAATAATCTTTTACAATTTCTTTGTAAAGGCCTTTGGGGGTTACTTAGCATATATACTAGAGAAAATGTAATTCAGCATCAAAAGTCTCATAACAATCTGAATTTATGCTTTGCAATAATCTAGATGTTATTGTTCTCTTGTTGTTATTTCTTGAACTTTTTATATAAGAAGTTTGTTCTTCATGTTATATCAATCAGTTTCATTCATTCTCATAATTTTGATTTTTTGGAGAATTTTTGGATGAGATGTATAATAGGAAATGTTAAAAAACAATTCAGTGTCATTTTTTAAAGAGAAGAGCCTAGCTTTGTTCCTGTCCTTATCCCAGGGAAAGACACTGTTCTGATTATAATTCTAGTAATAATTGAGAAGTATAAAATGGGGACAAATCAACTCCATTTATTACTGAAGTGTCTGACCATGCAGACTTACTCATACTATAATTGTTGATAGAAAAATATAAACTTTCACACCCATAAGCCCTGTGTAAGAGCCCTGCTCTTTCTTTAAATACTGCTGCTGCTGGTACTACTAATAATAATATCATTTTTCAAATACAGATTCATTCTCTTCCTCTGCTATAAGAAAAATTGCACCTGTACAACAAAAAGTGAAACACTGGCCTTCTTTCTTTAAGTGTGTGTGTGTGTGTGTGTGTGAGAGAGAGAGAGAGAGAGCGAGAGAGAGAGAGAGAGAGAGAGAGAGAGAGAATTTCATTCATGCTAATGATTGCTTTTGCCTTCAGCAATGAATTAGCAGCTCTTACTGTTTTTCTTGCAGTGCAGCCAACGGTTATTCACACAGATATGTATGTCAATAGCATTGGTCCGGTAAATGCGATCAATATGGTATGTAACATTTGCTCATAAATTTCATTGTATTTGGGTTGTTGAATGCTGGTGAGCATTTACATACAACATCTATAGTTTGACTTGGATCCTCAAGAGGGTGGGCATAAGAGAACTTTCCTGTCCCTCCTTTCCCTGCCCCAGGTCTTATCATGTGCCCTGAGTGCGGTTCTTTATGTTGCTCAGGGCTGAAAAGGAAGTGGTGTTCAGTGGATGCATCTTCCAGGAGCAGAGGCAAACTATTTCCCTTCAATTGATACCATCATGAATTTGAGGTCAATCTGCTCAGTACTGGAGAAAGACCCACACTAAGTGACCTCAGGAGGAGTTTGTCTCTGAGGTCATAAGGCTGACCTCAGAAAAGCATTTTGAAGGCAGAGAATGGACAGGAGAACACTGAGGTATATACCATGCATCCCGGCAGTGACTAAGCCTCTCCCCCGACCCCACTCTTAAGTCACTGCACCAAAAGCACCAAATTGGCCATCAGTTTAGGGTGTGAAACTGGGACTTGGGGGATCCATGTTCTAGTCCCCACGCAGCCAGTCACTAACTCTTAGCCTAACTAATCTTGGCAAGTTGTTCTGAGGATAAAACAGAGAGGACAACAGTAATGTAAGCTAGCTTGGGTTCCTTGCAAGAGAAAAAAATGGTAGGATAGAAATGTAGTAGTAAGAATGATAATAATGCTTCTTCCATGGTATAATTCATGTAAGTAAATATGTCGCAATTCCCTTCCATGGAAACATCACTAAACTCGTAATGTCTCATTTGGTATTGAACGTCATCCATCAGTAACATTCCCTTTAGTTAATATACTGTACATGGCATATTTCTATGCGTGTAAAGCATAGAATTTAAGTTGGGTAGCCCAACCAAGAACAATGGGACACTGGATGGGTAGCTTGATTCACAATCCAGTAAAGATAAATTATTCTGGTTTACAACACAACACTGAAATGATATTTTTCTGCACCAAAATGTCCATGTTTGGGGAAGGTGAAAAAACATCCCAAGGGCACAATCTAGGTGGGGTGAACTCAGAGGGTAATGGGCAACCTATGCAGGCTGGACAACCATGGAAGCAAGGTTGCCTCTGCACTGCTTTCATACTGCCAAGCACTCAGATGGCCATTCATCTTGGTGAGTGGGAGAGGAGGAGATTGAAGTCCCAGCAGGAAATATTAGTCCTGTACTAGTTTCTTTCCCTCCCCTCTCTGCCCACCGAACCCCTACTTTGGGGTCACTCTTATGACTTTAGAAGTGCAGCTCTGTATGTGTGCATGGATCTGACTGTGCATTTCCTGACCTTGTAGCTGGGGAGACAAGCAATCTGACGGCCATGTTGTCCAGCAGCCATAGGACTGCTCTACATTCAACGATGTTTTTAGCTATTTCTTTAAGTTAGCATTGCAGAAATGGGACAGAATTCCTAGATGCAGAAGCACTGGCTTAAAGGGAATAGAGTTAGGTGCCTGCTTCTATTGTGGATCACACCACTGGTGTGGTTTGTTTGGCCTCCCTGAAATGCCCATAGAAGCTTTGTCAAACAAAAAGATCTTGAAAATGACACCTGCCTGAGAACTCATGGAGGTTTATTTGTTATATTTTGTTAACACTGCAGGAATACACCATAGATATATTTTTTGCCCAAACCTGGTATGACAGACGGCTAAGGTTCAACAGCACGATCAAAGTGCTGCGGCTGAACAGCAACATGGTGGGGAAGATCTGGATCCCTGACACATTCTTCCGCAACTCCAAAAAAGCTGATGCTCATTGGATAACAACACCCAATCGGATGCTTCGGATCTGGAATGATGGCAGAGTGCTATATACACTTAGGTACTTTTGCCACTCTTACAGTTGTGTCTAATATTAGGTGTATCCAAGATGAATGAGAGAAGTATTGTATCCAGCCCTGCTTTCCCCACTGCCCATGCTTTACCCCTAGCCTGGAGGAGACCAAGGGTTTGTGAGAAGGCTGGGAGATGGTTTGGGTTATCACCAATCCCTTGTATTGAGGAACTTCCCCTGGGTGAGTTAAGGGAGCACAATGTTCCCAGGCACTGTCAGGAGCTCCTGCAAGCATCAGACTAGCACAACCAGGCTGAGCGGCTTCACCTGCACCTCATCCTCTCTCCACTGGGAGAAGCCAGTGCACCAGCTGTGGTCTGCATGATATCAGGGTGGCCCCACCCCTTGGCTATAATTCAGCTTGTGAGGGTGGTGTTGGTGGAGGCCATCAGCTGCCCTGTTACTTTCCTTGCCTACCCATCATACAGTAAACATAAGTGATGTATGATATCCTTGCCTTAAATATTAGAGGCAAAATTAAACAGAATGAGCTATGTAAAACAAAGCCCATGTGATACAGGGACGAGAGTGTCAGACGTAGATTAGAGGAATGCATCTTCAAATCTACACTGGAAAACCTAACTTATCATACAAAGTCACGATGAGGCTAAAGTCTCTCTCTCTGTGTCTCTATCCATATGTATCTGTGTGTAGGTGTTGTTGGGGGTCGGGGGGATGACCATATACATTGCCTTGAGCATAATAAATAAGAAAAGAAATGTATGAATGAATAAAACAAGGAAAGATGTCATCTCAGTTTATTTTAGAGTTGGTGTGTGCAGTGCCTGAGGTAATAAGTCTTTTTGGGGTCTCCTAAGTAAATAAATTTGAGCACATTCACGGGGGGTTCCCTGCTACAGTAACACAACCCTTGCTCCTCTCCCCCATTCTCCATAGGAAGTTGTGTCTTGTGAAACTCTACTCATAGGTGAGGTCATGGAAGAATATGGCCCAGATGGCAAATAACAGCTGTCTGTACTGCTGTACCAGCCTGAAGATAGGGCTGATGGGCTTGTGATTGTTTCAATGGATTCCAAAGCAATATTGCCAGTTCTTGTACATCTTCTGGGCTGTATAATCTGTTGGCCCCCAAAATTGCTTGGCTTCACCATGTCTCGGCACGGCTTTATGCAATGCTGAATGGAACAGCACCCTGCTGGTTTGGGACTTTCCACCCCAACCTTGTCTAGTTTTGAACCAGTGAAACTTGTGGCTTCCCATAAAGCAACAGGCAATTCTGTGACTGTCCCTTTTAAAAGCCACAGTTTCCCACATGGCTCTGGAAGCGAATCAAGTCAACTTAACTGATAAATAGACTTGCTTGAAGGCAGATTGGGAATGGGAGAAATCTCATGGAAAGCATGGCATGCTTTAAGTGCTCCGTTGGAAGTACTCCATGCAAAGGACATTCTTCCATCAGCTTTTAATGCTATTAGTGTCAAAAGCAGGATTAGTGACACCACTAGGAAGGAACATGGTCAGGAGGATGGATTGGCAATACATGTCTTAATTAAAGCACAAGAAGAGAAGTGTTGGAGGGAAAAGGGCAATATAGATTCTAAATAGTCTCAATATTTTTCCAGCTACAGACATACAGCCTCTAGAGCTATGAACATTGCAGATGATTTGTAATCAGCCAGAAAATATGAATCATTGGATGTATTAGAAATTAATCAGTAAATAATATGTTTATTAAAATGCAAATATTTATTTCTTCTTAGGCTGACAATAGATGCTGAGTGTCAGCTACAGCTGCACAACTTCCCAATGGATGAACATTCTTGTCCACTGGCATTTTCAAGCTGTAAGTAGTAAACACATCCTTTGGCTGATTTTGGAAAGAACTGATCAGAAAATGTACTTTGATCAGTCAATGCAAGTCTTATGGTCCATGTGAGAGCATTCCAGGGACCATAGAATTTTTCTGAATTCCCCTGACTGCAGCTATATCTGAGCCAGTCACCCACAACCCAATGCCCTCCAGATGTGAGAGATTACAATGCTTATAATCTCCATTCAGCATGTAGGATGGGAATAGTTATTCAACACATCTGGAGGGCACCAGGTTTAGGAAGCCTGAACTAAACACTGACCATATGGAAGTGAGCAGGTGAGAATTTAGTGAGAGATACCTGTAGACTCTCTGCTGCTACAGAGTAAGATGACAGCCCATAACATGTTTCTTTACACTTCGATTGCTTAACTGTTCTCTAAGTTTGGGCTTATGCGAGTTAATTATGCATGAGGTGTCCCACTTTAGCCTCCTTGCACAGCAACCTGTGAAGTGCTCTCTTTGGGAACAGTGTGTGACCAGCCAAAGCACACCCAATAAGAATTGGATTTTGGAAAACCCAGAAGTTTTCCAAAATCCAATACTGTATGGAATATACCACACTGGCTACCTATCAAAAGTCATACATGGGTCTATTTGATCTACTGTGGGGTATTCAGTGCTCATAGTTGGAGGGATGGGGCACCAGGGGAACATGTATTGGTGCAAGTGTTCCACATGTGTAAAACCACATTCAAGTGTGCCTTTAAACAGAAAAGTACTGCAGAAGCTTTCCTCAAGTGGGTGTGCTCTAGATATGTTAGGCTACTGCTCCCATCACTCCAGCCAGCATGGTTGGAGTGATGGGAGTTATAGTCCAATCTGGAAGTATCCAGCTGAGAAAGGCTATATGACAGAAACAGTTCACTATGGATTCAGAGTGAGGGTAAACCTGGCTGCTTTCATCTTTAGAAGCAAATCCTTGGCAGTGACTGAAAGAGCCAGGACATGGGCAGGCCTGCTATGGTTGCTTGGAGGTGCAAGGTCCAGTTCAGAATTCTTTGCTCCACCTGCGTTTCTGATAAGTGCAGTAACATCCTGTGAGGCAGGGGAGAGAAATCATGTGTCTTCATCTGTAGAGAGTGCCATGGATTCATTAGTAGTGTCATTCATGCCCATGTGGGTGGAAAATATTGATGGGATTGTGGTTGACATTGTTTTGAAGATGGCTACCCGAAGGAAGAAATTATCTATATGTGGAAGCGCAGTTCAGTGGAAGTGGGAGATACAAGGTCCTGGAGGCTCTATCAGTTCTCATTTATTGGGCTCAGAAATACAACAGAAGTGGTGCCAACTACTTCAGGTAGGTGAAACAACAATACTCTAATAATCTGTCTGCTTCATATAAGCTTCTCTGAAACACTGAAGTGGAAAGAGGTCAGTATGAGGAATGAATGAGGTTCTTTATTTATTTTGCAAACTAGGCAAATGTGCCCAGTTCTAAGTGCCATATTTTGAGCATGCACACATGTCCACTGCAACTGTTTGAAAATCATCAAACACATGCTTGTCTCCATCTCATTCCTGACTCCCTGTTCAATCTGAGCAAATTTCCTCAGTAGACTAAATCAGCCCCATTTTGGCATTAAAAGAAAATTTGCACAATTTGGGAAATTTGTGCAAATTTTGGAAGATTTGCAGAGTTAGGCAATTCAGCTGCTGCTGTTTCTGCAAATCCCCCATTCATGCAAAGTGAGCAGCAACTCCAAATGCAAACAGGAATTAGGCAGAAGCTGAGAAGCAAGATTATGTTCAGAGAATCCTAGCTTGTTCATCCATGTCTAGTTAATACTGTGCCTGCTCTCTGGCTGAAACACACTAGATCTGTTCAAGCATTAACTTCCACACATGAAGGCTAAGAGTAGGGGTAGGGCATAGGAATGAATACTTTAGACCTATCCCGAACACCCATTCTACTTTACCTAAACTTCTTGAATTGAGCATGATGATCCAAAGGGGGCATCTCATTCCATAAGGCATAGGAGACCTCTTCAGGTTCTCACGCTAAAGAATGATGATGTTGATGATGATGATAATTTCATTTCTATACTACCCCATAGTTGAAGCTCTCTTGATGGTTTACAGCAGTACACAAAAACAATAAAATAACAAACCATAACATCTTATCAAAAGGATAATTAAAAATAAAAAACAGCTAAAAACATACCTTGAAGAAAGACCCTGTAAATGAAAAAAAAATGTCTGGAATAGGTAATCCCCTCAAACTCCTGGATAACCAAGTATATTTTTAAAAGCTTCAGCATAAAGGGCTGTCTTAACCTGGTACCAAAAAGATAAACAAGATGTTGGAGGTGGATAAGAGCAGCAGGCATGGAGATGTTGAGGAAACTGCCCATATGTATCACCACATCTGATCCTCAGTTTTAGCCTTCACATGTTTAGACTAGTGCTTCAATGGAGGCAGCATCATCAGCTTCATGTGACAGTTACGTTGTTGGGCTTCACCATTTTTGTTTGCATGTATGGGATGAAAGGTTCTGGTGCTTCCATATATATATCTGTATCTTTCAAAAGTAGCAGGTGGTGGAAGGTTTCCTGTTTATCTATTCATTGACAGGGAGTTGTGATTTATTGGGCAACATTTACCCAATAAATCTTTCACCTGCATTTTGAATGGGAAAAGTCCAGTAAGAGAGATACCCAAAAAAGATCCTTGATGAAGTTCAGGTCCTTGGATTCACTTTAGTCAAAACAAATACCTTGTGGTTGACCATTTCACTAGATGAATCTTGTGGATGCTTCTAGATGCGCCTTTTAACAGGGTATTGCCCTGCCTCATTCATGGAATTTATGGGGAGTGGGGGCACTCATCACCCACTCATGTTTTCCTCCCATTTTTCCCATTTTTTTTCTTACCATGTAAAATTAAGCAAGCACACAATCTTAATGCATATTTAGACAGAAAGTGTCCTAAGACTCTCAGCTGTCCCCAGCCAGCATGTTAGCCCGGGCATCCTGGGTGTGGTATGACTTTTTTCTGTCAAAACACGCATAGGACTGGGCACTAAGGAAGCAAGGAGGAATTGCTGCAAGATGATTAACTCTAGTAGGACCGCTTCGCCTGGTTAACTCCCTTGAATGCAGCTTGCTAGAAGGCAAACGAACAGGGCTAACTAGGAGAGTCTTGGCTGTGCCTCTTCTGTCAACAGCACAATACAAAACTTTTAAGCTGCACAATAAAAGGGATTGCAGGCAGATGTTTTTGTGTGACTCAGTATCACTCCTCCGTTTCCAGTATGCTTCTGGAGCCGCAGTGCTCCATTTTGCCTTTGCCTCAGGGTCAGCAGAAAATGGAGCAATCTAGGACTGAATTGGTGATTGCGTCTCTGTGTTGGATGGGAGATATGTTTTATAGTTGCATCTTTTCCTTCCCTCTATTTGAGTCGCTCTCACTGTACACATGTGGCTGAATCTGTAATGACAAATATTAGTGACTCAGATGAACTGCAATGTTGCCTTGTTACTTAACTTGGATGAAACACATAAATTAGGGTCACAGAAAGGATTGGCTCGCTGGAGATCAGTGACAAAGCATAGAGGCAGATGTTGCATAATTATAATCTTTTATGTGCCACAGGTCTGTTGTTGTTGAGTTCATATTTTAAAATGCAATTGGGGAGGAAAAAGAAGAGGTTGTGCCCTTACACATTTGACGTTGCTGTCTCTTAAAAGTGGCGACGTGCTGAGAAGGCTTTCCTCTCCCTTCTACTGCCCTTATTTAAAGTAGGAAATATGTATCAGTAACTAGGTAAATGAGTCAAAGCAGCAGCAAGTTTTGCTCATAACTTCACCTGAATGTTCGAATAGGATCCTGCACATGGGAGATGGAAGCCTTCAACTTTTGTGTTAAGTTCCAGAACAAAGGCACCTCCAGGTATGTGGGGTTAGGGGCAAGGCATCCTCATCATTTGTGAACCGCCCTCAGAGCTTTGGCTGTTGGGTGGTATAGAAATTAATAACTAAATAAAAATACATAAGACAATTCTCTTGAATTGGAACAAAGAATGTATTCATGTTGCCCCTGCAATTATTGGAAAGATTCTGGATACACAGTGAAACTCAGTAATATTGTTGAAGATGTGACACTTTTGGCAATGTTGATACCCCAGAAATATTGGTGGAAAGTGAAATGTTTGTGGCTAAAAAAAATAATGATATGGATAGGGTTGAAATGACTGAAAATAAGTGAATTTTCATGACCCCCCAAGGATTTTACAGTTATTAAGGACCTACTTTTTCTTTTATAGGGAACTTTCCTAGGCATTTCCTATCTGTTAAAGGACCAAAAGGACACAAATTAAAGTCCTCGATATAGTTTCTCAAGCAGGACTAGGCAGCTATGTAAAAGAATGCCTTGAATAAAGATATTTTTTCTTGGTTCTGCTTCTATTGCAGTAAGGTTAATGGAAAAATCTCACAGAAACATCAGTAAGCAATGTGTTCCGTCTCACAGACATTTCATGTTTCTCGCATTTACTGCCTTCTAGCACCTCGCTCCCCTCCTTTTGCCGATAGAGTTGTGTTTTCTTTTGCCATTAAGGAAAAATAAGTATGTTTTGAAAATGCTACAAGCTCCAGCTCCTTCGTTTCAGAGCTTTCTGTACATATATATTTTGTTGAATCAATTTTATGAGGTTCTGTGCAACATTAAAAGAGAGTGTTCATTGAATGAAACAATCCATTCACATTAAGCTAGTATGTCCTTCCTAAGGGACCATTAATCTCATTTCAGAAACCACAGCAGTGCTCTAACAGTGCCGATATAATTGAAAGATCATATTCGTTATTAATGCACTGGCGCACACTGTCCTCATCCACTGATTTAAACAAATAAAGTAATCAATATTAATTGTGCATCCATACATGACAAAATCCTCATTTTAGCCAAGATTTCTATCGGTAACAAGAGATTCTTTCCAAATATGATCTAGTTCTGATCAGCTTAGCCTTCCAGAGTATACAGCAAACGTCAGAATTGCTGCAGAGTTATCTCTCCTGTAGGTGCATTTCCAGTACAGATTCAGGGTACCTGTTTTGATCTACAGTCCCTTCCATGGCTCAGGATTATGATACTTAATGGAGCATGTCTCCCAGCATGAACCCACCCATACTTTATTCATTTTGGAACCAGACCAAAACCCTTTAAAGGTTTAATTGATATTTTAATGGTGGCATTTTATTTTGTGTTTCATTTTGTATTTTAATTGTGTTTCTATACTGTACACCATCTTGAGACCTGCTGGTTTAGATGGGTTTTAAAAGTTTTAAATAAATAAATAAAATACAATTAAATAAGTAATAAGGTTTAAAAGCATATCCTGGGATTTTTTAAATGTTGATTGAAAAAGATGTTCGTATTTCTATTTGTAAATTGTTTTTATATGTAAAATATTTGTCAAGGTTTTAAACTTTGTGAACTGCCCACAGAGCTTTTGTGGGTTAATATAGAAATGCAATACATGAAATGAAATCATGACAGCCCTGGAGCCACAACCTCGAGTTGACCACCAGGCTATTTATGTACTTAGAGCAGACCCACCAAAATCAATGAGACTCAAGTTGGCCTGGAGATCTAACAATATGTGGAACAGTGCTTAGAATGATGGGTCGGGACTCCAGTGTCCTGGGACCTGTTTCCCACTTGGCCGTGAAGCTCACTGGGAGACTTTGGGCTAATAGCAGGCTCTGTGCTTAACAGAGCTCACGGATCACAGGGAGAGGAGCGGAAGACCTTGGACCCTGGGCAAGAGGAAAGAAATGCAACAACAAATACATAGCTGGATGTAATCCATAACTGTCCAGATCTGGAATATATTGCAAACAAACAAAGCAAAGCTCTAACAAAGCTTGGAATTAAATGCATGTAATGCATAGTTATGCAGAAGTAAGTGCCACTGAGCTCATTGGTGATTGTTTCTGACTGCATAGGCCCAACATCCAAGAACAAATAAAAGAGCTTCAGCTATGCTACATGCAACCTTTACCTTGCAGATGGCTTTGTGAGGTTGCAAAGGTTAGCTTTTCATTAGAAAAATGCAAGAAATACTGTAAAGCAGAGCTACCAAATGGCCACCATGGAGAGACTTATAAGAGGCCGAAACACATAACCTCTGCTTAGTAATTTTCTCTTTGGCCTACGTTCCTCTGTAAGACTCTACCTTGTAACACAAGATTCACTTGCCTGAGCAAAGGGGCTCCATTAATCACCTGGGGACTTCTGCAGATCATATGGTTGCTCTGACTCTTCCACCTGCACGCTCCACCACTGCTCCTAGTGCCTTC